TCCGAGATTATGGGAGCTGACGAAGTGTTGACCTATCGCGGCAGCCTTCTCTTCAGGAGTTATCAGATGAACCACTGGGTCGCCGGGACGATCCAGTGGGGTCAGTGGTGGAATGGGCCTACGCTTGTTTTTAAGAATTTTTGTAAGTTTCCAGAAGGGCTTAGCACAATCTGGGAGAGAGCGGATCTTACTAGCAAAATCGTTATTTCTGAGATCCACCATCCTGGCCTGAATGATTTTTGTTAATCGATTATAATTGGTCTTCAAGTTAAGCAGGCCAGTACGCTGGTACTGCCTACGAATGGTGTTACGGAGTGTAATGAGATCTTTGGTAGGGTTGTCAAGGTTCAGAGTGCTACTCACCTGTCTGGATACTGGCACGTGTTGTTCCCTGGCCCGGGAAATCGCCTCCTCGATGGTTTGTAGACACCGGTCAACATCTTCGGACGTCCCCGGTTGGACATCGTAGTCGATGGTTGTGTCGACGCAGTGTTGATATTGCGCCCAGTTGACTCGATGGTAGTTGCGCCGGGAAGCTTCGAATCGGTTTACCGAGGATCCAACTTCGGCCACCACAGGGTAGTGGTCCGAGCGCTGAGCTCGGACCACTACATTAGCTGGAGCTGGAGCTGATCCTGGAATGCCACAGGTTGCGAGACGTTGTGTCCCATGTTGCTTACGAAGATGTCGATGGTCACATGGACCCCAGTCCGACTCAACCGGCTGAGAGAGTCGGGGGCCAAGATGGTATAGTGGCCCTCTTGCAGGTCTTCATTCAGGATGGTGCCGTTTCGATTGCTCCGACCGTTGCCCCAAGCTTGGTGTTTTGCGTTCAGATCGCCAGCGATGATAAAGTTCCCGCTCCTCCGATGATGTCTTTCCGGAGGGCCACTAACGACCCGTCTCTGATGTTGGTTTGCTTGGGGCAGTAGGCCGCGATGATGGTGATTGGGCCAAGTGATGTGCTCACCTCCACTCCGATGGCTTCAATTGTTTTCAGCTGGAAGTTTGGTAGCAGCCAGCAACTGATGATCCGTCTTGCAGCAATGGCCACTCCTCCACCTCCAGAGCAGGTGCGATCAACTCTGACGAGCCGGAAGTCGGGAAGGAATACGTTCAGTTCGGGCTTCAAATGTGTCTCGGTGATGATAGGAATGTCGACTTCCTTGGTGTTGAGGAAATCGAGTATCTCTCTATGCTTGTTCGTTAGTGAGCAAGCGTTCCAGTTTGCAATTTTTATAGCTTTACGGTCCATACTTGGTGACGAGTGACAAGGCACCATGAAGCTGTTCAGATCGAGTCTTGCAGGTGCGCATGATGATGATGACCTCGGCCACGAGCGTCACATGTTCCTCCGAGGTGAACGGAGAATCGTCGACAGATTCACCTGAGACAACACCAGCGTACACGCTAACTCGAAAGTACCCATTAATGGTTGAAAAAAACCCATTTTGAAGAAAAGTGGCTTAACTCATTAAATGAGTAAATTTTTTACCTAATGAGTATCTGTTACCCATTAATGAGTAATTGTTAATCATTAATGGGTAACAGATACTCATTAATGGGTAAAATTGTTTAATCATTAATGAGTTAAGCCACTTTTCTTCAAAATGGGTCTTTTTTTACTCATTAATGAGTACTTTCAAGTTAGCGTGTATGATAAACCAGGGGCGGCGGACGATGCTGAACTGTCCGACTGTTGGGAACCATTTGGATTCTCGCAGGATTGGCTTGTTGGTTGGTGAGCGGAAGCGGGGCTAGGTTCGGAACATGTCGACGGGGCTGGAGAGCTGGGTACTGGACTTCCGTGAGTACAGGAGGCGAACGATGATTACGGAGGCGACCGAGCTGGTTGTTGATTGTGGCCTTCCGACGGATATTAATGAACTCCACTCGCTTGGGACATCCGCGATTGGAGGCTTGGGGGTTTCCACCGCAGTTGACACACGTTGGTTCGATGTCATCGACTTGCTCACAGGATGCAGTTGAGTGAGTTCCAGCACACTTGCCGCAGTTTGTCTTCATGTGGCAGTTTTTGGAGCCATGGCCATATGAGCGGCAGTTCATACACTGCGTTACATCACGATGATAGGGTTTGTAATGCTCCCAACTGATGATGACCTGAAACAGGTCCCGGATATTGGATCTCAGAGCCGCAAGACTGGAGGATCCCTTCGAGAAATGCACCAGGAACAACTGATCACGGAAGCTGGTGTTTTGGTTGGGACGCCGGTTCATCGAAAATAGTGACTGACTACAAGAAAAAGTAATTTTAGTGTCTTGGCCTTAAAAAAGAGACTTTTTAGTGACTGGCGTGAAAAAAGTTACCAAGTCACTAAAAAGTGACTCGCTACCAGCCCTGTCAATGTTGCCTTAAAGAACATGGTATGCTAGATTTAAACATATCTAGATAGAGTTGGAATAAGGCGTAACAGCTTTTGTAAACAATGACTTCTCTCGATGATTTTTTTAAGAATTCAAGGCACGCCCACACAAACCAACATTACCGTCGTGTAGACGAAGTCTTACTCTATCTTATGGTGATGTTGATTTGCGTGGGCAAACACCTTGAAATGAGAACTGACATCCGATTGATGACCTTGACTGTCCAAAAAATACTCTTACAAATTTATGGTGGTCCTGAAAATGACCGTTTTGTCGTGATGGTTGAATACTGTTGAACTATCAGGGTGTTAAACACATATGAGGCTGGTGAGCTGTATGTTGTTTGGAATGAGGGTTACGCGCTTGGCAGAGATGGCCCACCGCGACTCACGAAGAGCTACTGATTCCGATCAAGTGGCGTGGCTTCTTCCTCCTTATATGGATGCTCATGTAGGCTACAGCTCGCTGCTTGCAGGCAGCCTTTCGTTGTGCACTGGAGAACAATCTTCAACGCCACGCGCCGAAAGAATTGCTGCTGCTGCAGCTGATGCCGACGAACGGACACCACCACACACGGTGATTGGAACTGAATCCGATCAGCGGTTGAGGCTAGCCTTGATAACTAGCTGCTTGCGGGGAGCCTTCCGTTGTGTACTGGAGAACACCACAACTCACCACGCGGTGATTGAATAAACACCGTTTGGTGAGACCCGATGGAATTCAACTTTGAAATCTGTGTTAGGGAAATCGCTTTTCGCAGGCAATCGGTGATAATTTTATTTATCATAGCAATCGTGCAATTTTCAATTGTGAAATTTGGAAAATATGATAAATACTTAAATTTACAGACGCGTAGAAATATATCTGATCGATTAGTGATAAAATTATTGAAATGGGTCCAGGGGCAGCTGAGTTATTAACGTTAAAAATCTTTCATATTTTTGTTACATGTTCCATTTTTGGTTTTCACAAAGTGTACCCCCATTTAGAAATCACAGACGTAGTCCTACGTCAAAAATGAATATGGTTATGTTTTTATCGCTCACTCATGGGGTGTCAATATTGGGTTAATTTTTCGGTATCACTTTGAACCAGTAAAAACAGTAAAAAATCTCTTTCCTTTATTTAACGTCGGTCTCTGTTCCGCAATCTAGTGCCAATCACCGACGGACATCGATTGACATCCATTGACGGCAATCGAATGTGCAGGAAGGCAGCTTCCAACACCTGCGCAGGATATCGCACCCATTCAACAACACACATGGGCCGGGACCAACGGCTTTACTTCCCTTCCGAAGGAAGACGTGACCAGAGATTTTATGCCTCAGAAAAATCCCACCGACCTCGGCTGGGATTGAACCCAGACCCATTGGGGTGAGAAAGCAGTCACGCTTACCACTACACCACCGGCGCCGGCTAGTAAAAAATCTGGGAACGGACAAAATTAATGAATAACGCTGCTCATAATCATGAAATATTCAGCTTTCCACCTGATAGATTACTTTTTGGAGTTCACGTAGCTTAAATATGATATATTAGCTAGCTGGTTCCATGCCCAATAGCTTTGGAGGGCTTAGAAAAAGAGTAGCTCCACGCCAACTGACGAATGATTTTTATGGTTTCCTCTCCGAATTCCATGAAGCTTCGCCTAACTGCTCGCTAGGACCAATGAATCAAATTTGTGCCGGAATTTAAGCGGTTTAAGATTATTGCACCAAAGCTGTGTTAACTGCTGGAATGCAAGAGCATAAAATGCTATGCGCTAGCACACTGAAAGCGTGTGCAATCGTGCAAAGTGACACTTTTCATTCCTGAATCATGCAAACTACATAAAAATTATCTCGGACGCATTCTTTGACCCACCAAAAATGCACATTAAAATCGCACCCTTTTGATCCGAAAAACAGCACGCAGGCCCACCACTGCTGGTACTGTAGTAGCAAAGGTGCATGGCGGTTCCTGACTCAGAAAAAAATCCTGTGTAATATGTGAAATGATAAAAATAGCCCACGCGCTCACCGTACAACTAGCGCAGCCATCAACAAAAACAAAAACAACAGCATCCAAAACAGCAAGCAACGAGAATGCTTTTGAGAAAATAGACATTTTCATTTTTTTTTTGCGTCTAGCATCACCTCATCATCACCGTCACCAATGTATAGCCGTTCCCATAGCAGGGGCTACCAGGATGATGGGTGACTAGGTGGTGGAAAATTCAACACAGCTGCTTTGGATGCTCCCATCTCTTCTCATCTCGCCGGATTGCGTCGTGTGTGAGTGAGATTATACTAATTCAAAATCTCGGTTTTCGGCTGTCGGAGAAATTATGGAATTCCACTTCCGGATTTGAGGAAATTGTATCACACAATCTGTGCGTCGACGTCGTCATTTTTAGTGTCAAGAAAGGAGGTCGTTATTAAGCGAGAGGAAAACGATGTGAAAAGGCTTCATATGAGCGCCCGCTGCTAATGCCGCCAGAGTGGAACGCGTGACTTTATATTTAGATGAGCAGCCAACGGTGGTGAACATTTAGCTTGACAGCGTTCGTTGGGCCGCCGGCCGCCGCCTTCGTCGTTGTGATTGTAATTTTGTGCGTCTGTTGCGACTCTTTACAGGAAAGCAAAAGTTTCAAGTGGAACGGGAACGAAGAAAATTTGAATTTGCATAAGGCACAAGGAAGATATTGCGAGTGGATGTTTGCTTAGTGTCGAATTCAGGATGGAGCTAACAAATGAAGTTGTTCGTGTCATGTAAATGAACATTTTGCGAGGAAATGTGAATCACATCGAATGGCTCGAGTGAGGCATGGAAAGTTCTGAAAATTAGTGATCTAGTGTTAGGATATTGCTATTTGTTGATGGGTTTTTGGGGATGAAAACAGTCGAATGAATTGAAGATTATAGAAGGAGATGTTTAAACAGTGATAGAATAGATGGAATCGTGAATACTTGTTTGGATTTTGTTGTTAAGGTAAGTGTATATCGTTTTGTAAAGATTGTTTTACAAGCTTTATAAATACTATATTAATATAAATTTACGTGGACGTGAAAACTTCTGCTTTAAATAATTGAATTTCAGATAGGTAAACGTGTAATTTTATACTTAAAAATCTGTTACAGCATTTTTCTAAATATTTTATTGGTCTAATAATTTTATCCATCGGTCTGTTCAGTGTTGGACAAATATCAAACAATCAAATCTCATAAATGTCACTCATCCAGACCTCCGTTGCTCGGTAAATTGGTACGCCCCTCGCCGCCGCCGCTAGCACGCCTCTAGTGTTGGGAATCGAAAATCTTTGACAGTGGTTTGTTTACACTGCTATAGACCTTTTTGACGTTTAATAAGATTTCTCTATCAGCACACATGGATGAATGAACGGTTTGTTTTCCCACTAATCTGTTTCCCTCTTGCTCGCACTCGTTCGTTTTAAATGGTGCAGTAGTGTGCGCCGATTAAACGTCAAAAAGCTCTATAGAGAACAACTGGTGCAAGTTTGATCAAAGTAGTCGATCGCGTTCAGATATAACGTCAAATGGAACTCGAAAGAAGAAAAAGTATTGTGCACAAACACCTGGAAAATCCGGAGTGGTCCGGTTCCAAGCTGGCTAAAGTGTTGAAGATGCCGAAAACAACAGTTTGTCGAGTGCTCAAAATGTACAAGGAAACCCTGAGTGTGGAAAGGAATCAGCGGACCTACGCAGCAAAGAGTTGAGGTGCGTTAAAGCCAACCCCGGTCTTTCGATCCGATATGTGGCCAGAAGGTACAACGCCAACTTTCAAACTGTGCGGAACATCCATGCCAGGGAAGGATACAAATCGTACAAAGCCAGTAAACATCCGAGCCGGCACTTGAAGCAGAATTCCGTGGCCAAAAAGCGTGCAAGGCTCTTGTACGACCGTGTTTTGACGAAACACAAGGGCTGCACTTTGATCGATGACGAAACATACGTCAAACTCGATTTTCAGCAGCTTCCCGGTCAAAAGTTTTACATCGCGACTTGACGTGGGGATGTGCCGGGAAGATTCATGTTCGTGTTTTCCGACAAGTTCACGAAGAAGGCCTGCAAGCGATTTGCAGTTGTGGCCTGAAAACGGATCCAGTCGTCACATCCTTGACGATGACATCCCAAGTTTACATCGAAGAATGCCTGAAAAAGCGTGTATTGCCGTTTATCCGCAAGCATAGGGGCAAAGTCGTCTTTTTGGTCAGCTGCACCCACTTCAAGGTGGTTCTGGAGTGGTATGCTGCCAACAAGATCGATTTTGTTCCCAGGTTAATGAATCTTCCGAATTTCCCGGAATTTCAACCAATCGAAAAACACTGGGCAATTTCAAAGCAGCGACTTCGACGAAGGACGTCCAGTAAATGCGGGAAAAAATGGAAGAAATGCTCTGATTCCGTGTCCGTTTCCACTGTGCGGGCGCTGATGGGCTCCATCAAGAGGAAGGTTCGAGAATTCGTTCGAACTGGCAAATGTAACCAGTTAATGTTGTAACTTTGACATTTTAATAAAAGTACAGTAAAGCAACCATGAATGAACTTTTTAAACTTATTGAATCACGAATTACAGGTTTTTTGTGCGTACCAATTTACTTTTTGTCAGCCTTTAGACTGTTGACGACCACCGTTGGTGAAAGTTTGGCTAACGGGCTGCTGTTTGCCAACCGTTTGCACTGTTTGCCAAGAACCTCCATTACTTCATCTGAATACTTCTCAGATTGAGCTTTCCCCAACTAACATTTTCAGCTTTATAAGCAAAACTTTTCCAGCATGGTGCTGTGAAGTAGCTGAAAAAAGCTGCAGATACAGCTAAAAGCAGAAGCTAGCAAAATAGTTTTGGAGAGCGTTTACTCAACTTTGTCACAACCATTATTCAATTTGTCAGTCGCACTGAATAACAGCAGCCAATGAACACTAATGTCACTTCTATGCAAATATTAATCAACTTTAAACTGGTAGCTGCAAAACAAAGCTAATAAAGTGAATATATTACTCATTTGATGGCTTCTATACAAACAACCACTCTTGCTGAATAACATAAACATCAAAAGTGCTTTTTCAACAACTAAACAACCTGTACTCAGCTAATAAACTGTGTTAGTGCTACTTCGGAAGCATTTTTACAGTCAACTAGGTTTATTTTTAGACGTGTGCAGTTTTACAGCTTTTACTCTGCTCCTTTACAAAGCTGAAGTAACTAGTCGAGAAAAGTGATTCATGTGCACTATTATAAAGCCTCTACTCAACGATATTATTGTAGAAGGGCATGTATATTTGTTTACGTCAGTTCAAAGTGTTGGCGTAGCGGAGTTGGTAGTGTCAAGGTTTGCCAATACGGTCGTCTCGAGTTCGATTCCAGGTTCCGGTACAGGGTAAATAATTTGGTGGTGTGCTTATAACTAATTTCGATTAATTTGATTCTCACAGCAAAATAGACTCAATCGATTCCTCCAACAAAAAAAACGTAAGCAATAATTTAAATCGGCTTCAACAGAAAGCTGTATAGTGATTATTGGAAAACCGGAAAAAGATTGAAAAAGCGCCTTTCAAGTTCGCACACAACTAAACAGCAGGATAACAGCTGTTTAGAAGCGTAAAAGGAAATGCAATAAGAACTTGATCCAACTGTCCCAACAGCCATAAGTAGCTGACTAAGTTCGCCAGATTTGCTTGTACAGAGGTTGAGTAAAGGTTTCCTCATATCGTATAACATTTGAATACAGCTTGAAGTTGTATTAATGAAATGAGTAAAGCGTTTACATTGCGAAAATTGTTAGTTGGGTCCTCCATAGTGTCCGTTCTGCTTGAAACAGCTCCTCTTGGGTTAGATCGGATGTTGTGAGGCTTTTCTTCAGTCGACGTGCAGTTTGTTGCCGTGACAATGGACGTACTCTACACATCTGTAAAGACGTTCCCATTTCGAAAAATGCTGAACTTCCACAACTGGTACTGCTGCGAAGTGTCTGCATCCGTATGCCGGTCGCAATTCTTTTTCCGTTTCTGTGGTGTATCCTCCATCAGCTCTAGGCCAGTGTTCCTCTGACTTGTGCAAAAATTGCGGTGCCCGATACCAGCGGCTTTAAGCATTGAAGGATGGTCCTTTTCCCCATTTTGTGGCATTTTGCTGTGTATCAACCCATCTTAATTCCTCTGGTCGAGACAGGTTTAGGATTTCATAAACCCAAAGCACTGCATACTGTCTGTAACGTCGATGGTCCGATGTAATCCAAGCATGTATGGTTGTAGAGTCACTCCAGAAATACGCTTGAGCTTGAGCTTGAGCTTGATTGACCGCCCACGGTTGCTACTCTGTTACTGCCAGATCAGCTGTAATTACACAGAGAACCAATAGACGATGCTTGGGACTAGCAATCATCCTCAATGTGTAAAAACTGGTGATCTTAAATTAGGCAATACCAGCGCCGGCCGCGCCCGAACACAGGTCAAGAAAGGAATGGGAAGGATTGTGTTGACATGACACTCGCTTTGATGGAAGCCGAGAACACCTCTGCACTTCCACGAGGAATCACTGGGATGTTGGATAAGAGGGTTGGGTTTGCAGCAGGGTTCATTTTGGTAAACGATAAGCTGAATTGATGTCCTAACGATCATATAACGCGAAGGAGCTTGGGACTAAACCCACGGTCTTCTGCTCAGTAAGCAAAAACGTTTGCCACTAGGCAGACGAGCACCTTTTTAATCACCGAGTTGCTGTTATTACCATGTAGTCATATTAACAAATAAAACGGTTGACGAATCTTGAGTGTGGATGGGCCTGAGATTAGACTCATGATGTTCTGCTCAGTAAGCAAAAACGCACATAATACCGTTGCTCAAATTTGTGTATCCATTCAAACCCGGAACCAACGACAACAACGAGTTTCGCAAAATACACGATACACAAGCGATTTTACCATAAATCTCTTTGATATGTAAGGACCTGGGACAGCGTTTTTCTGCTCAGTAAGCAGGCCACTGTAACCGACGATCTTTCAAATCCGAAAACTAAAAACTACGAAAAAGTACTTAGGCCTTCATTAAGTTCCACTTTCACGCGACGTTCAATGACAGGGTCCTATCAAGGATTACATCTGAAAAATCCAAATCTGGCCAACGCCCACCTAAACCTGTTCTAATCCACCTGAAATGACTAACGAATGGAAGACTTTGACTACCCAGCCATGCAATAGTCTCATTCCGTGCCTTATGGCAACTTGATGATTCTATTGCGCTCATCTTTTGGCACCACCCAGGGGAGACTTGGTCCTGTACCCAATGCTTAACTTATCTCTATTCCACTCAGCTACTCGCAATTTCTTGTGATATAGTGGGCGGTATATTATTATTCAATTCAATGCAGACGTCTTTCCAAATTTGGCAGATCGACAGGTAATCGGTGAGCTACCACGATAGTTGCTATTCAACAACTCGACAACGTCCCATCGTCAACGCCTGCTATGAGAATTTCCCATTGCATACGTCAACGAAATGACGTCATCGAGCTATCGATCAACTACCCTGGTTATCGCCTGGTACCTTATAGCACGATGCTAGGAGGCGAACCGGAAGAATCGATGAGCTACCTCTCCCCCTGTAGAGTCACTTCAGAAATACGTTCGATGAATCTTCAACGAGTGGCCCTCCTCGATCGTTCTCCGTAGACGAGCTCCCAATAAAGCTGCCAGTAATTCTGCGAGGGACGTGGATATCGGCTGAAGAGGGGCAACTTCCGTTTTCGATCGATAATGCATAAGTAAGCCTGATCGCTGGCGTCTACAAGCACATGAAGCTTAAGCGTGTCGTAGCTGTCATGATCATATCCGGGAAAGTAACAGCGTGGTACTTCCACTTAATTCATTCCCTGTGGTAAATTGAGCCACTGTTCCCAGCGAGCGATAATCGTATTCGATATCTTTTGGTCCCATCCAACTTTGGCCATCCATACCTCCTGGATCATTACCTTTCC